ACAAGAAAAATAATTTGAATTTTATGTTATAATAAAATTTAATTTACCTGAAGAACAATAAATGTATTTTTATTTTTCAAACTGGGCTATACTAGGGAAAGGAAGAAAAAAAAACTCAAAAATATATTTTAAAATTTCATTATTAATTAAATTCTATTTTTCCTTCTACAATGTTTAAGGTGTTTACCAAATCAAAGCTAATATCTAATGTTTCTGGTATATAATTGTATAAATATTTTGGTTGTACAGGTGTATTCTATTTAAGCTTCAGTAACGTTCAAGTCCTGGAGTATTGTAAAATAACCATATGAATAACTTTGTTGCCCAACAAAAGTACAACTTGTGAGTCAATGGTTTATTTTCTAGAAAAACAAGTCTAATATGATGGTAAAAAAATAAAATGAGAATCATTGATTTTTAATTGTCACAAACAACATAAAAGATTATAATTAATATGCATCACTATAAACAATGATTAAGTTTATTGTAAATGCTGTAAAACATGTTATCTATATATATATTAGTTAATATATTAAGTTTTACTTGTAAAATTCCTTTTGCAAATGAATACATCGAATGTGATTTCACCAACTATTAAAAAAAAATCCTTTAAGTAAACAAAAACGTTTTTTAATTCCTTGCCAAAAATTGGGGGTTGAACCCCAACAAAGTTGTGAAATGAATTATGCAATTCATAAACCTAATTTCTCCTTGGTTAAATATTGCTAATTGTTCAAATCTGTGGACATTGTCAAAGTATAATTGCTAAATATAACGATAATTAAACAAATAAAACACTAAACAGTAATCATGGGGAGAAACTACAGCAAGAAAACACAACAAAAAAAAGGTAAAATCAGTAATACGAACAACATCTTAATACCACGAAATGAACAGTTAGTCCAGTTAAGTAGTACTTTGTGCCATCTATAAATGTTATGAAGATTAACAGCTTTAGAAACACAAATATTACGTAATAAAGAACAAACACAAATTTACAAAAATATGAAGTTAATTACCCGACTAGTTTTGATGCAAGAGGTGTGTCACTTTCAAGAGTGAAAATAACACATTTAGTACGTTGAAACTAGTCTGGTAATTAACTTCATATTTTTGTAAGTTTGTGTTTGTTCTTCGTTACTTAACTTGTGATTATAAACACTCAAACCTGTAAGTAATCTCAACACTCTTTACATAAGTACAACTGATACTAGATGAACATAGAGAAGAAAAACTTGGACAACACAAAAAAATGTCAAAGTATCCATCAGAAGTTTTCACATTCAGTGTGGCCTTAACAGTACACAGGTGAGTTTTAAAGTATAAGTGTTTACCTGGATACAGCCTTCATACTTTTAAGAAGATCTTCCAATCTGTTTAAAGCTGAAATAAAAATTGGAATCTCTTAAAAACTCGTAAACGTGTTATTTTGCAAAACTTTCGGTGATGTAAAGTCACACACCACCATGCTATTCTAAGTCCCAACCTTACTGTGATTTTAAAGTAATGTTCTTGTTCTAGTGACTTTCTCTTTCGTTATGATAATTGGTTGTGATTTAGTTAGTCATGCACGAAAAGGTGGAAGTGGCCATATTTTGTGGAAATGATGGATTACATCCATAGCAGGTTTGGGATGGGTTTCAGAAAAGTGTTGGTCTTTTTTTTGTCAAGTTTTAGGAAACTGATTCTGTAGCCAATTGAAGAACTTTCTATAGCAATGAATGAGGACTCTTCAAACAAGGTTACAGGCCATCTCTTAGAAAGACCATTAGGATCACCTTGCCCTGTTGCACAAGAAGTAGAAACAAGCATGTTCTGAAGCATAACTTCCATCCTAATGACCTGTACATATCCCAAAGGATGACCCACACCAGCACGTGGAAGTTCTGTGAATGGTTCATGAATCGAGAGTTACTGGATAAACTCCCACCAATAAGGTGCTTTGGGCAGATGAGACTATGTTTTTAGTTATCATGGAATATATCTACCACAATATCTAATACTAGTAGCAAGAAAATCAACCTTGGGTTAGAAAAACCCAGGACCAGGTAGCGATGGTTTGGTGTTTGTGATAGTATGCAAATTTGTTGGTCCAATTATTATCAAGTGGACACTAACCGGACAAGGTTACTTTACAAAACATACCAGAGAAGATGAGGTTTTGGCAGGACTTAACCAAATTACTTTCAATTTAATATTAACCAGCAAGGTAATCAATATTCTAATAAGGTCAAACTTGGGTTTCAAGCTATAACTTTTAATTATTTACTTATACAATGTGTGTGTGTGTGTGTTTGACAGATGTAAAAAAACAACAACTAAGACATCATCCTCACAGCTAGTTAAAGACATGGTGTCTAGTTTCTGTGTGAAACATTCATATAATTAGATTTATTATTTGTACAAGTTATTAGGTTGTGAAATTTCTAAAATTTTGTTGTGAACCAACGTTTTGTAAAATAATCAATAATAAAAGTACTTTCTTTACTGTTTTATCTATATATATTTTATTATCGATCAGAAAGTTTCACAATGCACTGACGTCAAGCACTACCTGAATGTTGCTTTTCCTGACAGATAGATATGAATGGTGCCTCATGAACAAGCGGCTGGCTTACATATTCTCCTCGTTTTATATAAGTAATTTGTATCCTTTGAGGATACGTTAAAAACTGTTATACATGCAAATAACCGGGAAGGTTTCAAACACACTATAACATCATAAATACCCAGAACATGTGACATTATGTTGTTTTGATGAAAGAGTTGGTACAAAGGATCACATATCAAGTGTAATAGACTTAAAATAAGACCCAAAACTCAAGCCCTTTTGATTTGACTATTGTTCTTCAGGAGAACAAAGAAGAATAGTCAACTATTCGAAAGTGCTCGAGTTTTGGGTCTTATTTTAAGTCTATGACATCACGTTGTGATATCAGAAGTACATACTTTGAACAGCTGTAATGGCAGGACTTAGAGAAATCATTATGGTGTTTGTCTTTGGCATCACATTGTGTATTGTTCATGCCTTGTCTATCAAAGTTAATGTATCATCTATATCTTCAAATGCATTTTTTTTAGTACCTTTGTACATTTCGTGGGTTAAGTGTTAATACCAGATACAACACTCACTTCAAAGTTATAGTATGATAAAATTATAAAAATGTTTTAAGTTATTACAATTGCCACTCACATTTATATAATAAATGATGTGTTTATGATTTCAAATTGTTAAGATTATCAAATATATTTTTTGAATGTTTACAGCAAAAAACCATCAACTAAACAATGTTCTCTGTTCACGTGGAAAAAAATTTAAAAATAGAAACATCTACACTTATCATGGAAGATTATTTTTCCAGCTTTCAAACACATGTCTATACACATGTTTAATTATTAAATCTTTTATAACCAAACTGGTTTGTGTATATACACATGTTTATTAAATCTTTTATAACCAAACTGGTTTGTATATATACACAGGTTTAATTATTAAATCTTTTATAACCAAATTGGCTTGTATATACACACGTTTATTAAATCTTTTATAACCAAATTGGCTTGTATATACACACGTTTATTAAATCTTTTATAACCAACTTGGCTTGTATATA